GAGGAGTACTATCATACCATGGGCCTCTGCAAACGGTGCAGAGGCAAAGAAGGGGAGGGGCAGTTGCACAGTGGCCGCCTCAACCCCTCCCCAAAGACATCATCAGGGTGTGCTCCATTACGCATGGCGCGCACCCTGAATACGTCCACCCGGCACAGCATCTTCACGCACTGTGCTGGAAGAGGCGCAGAAAAGCTGCGCGGCGGCTCTTGATGCTTCCCTTCTGCTGGCTCTGGAAGGACCGGCATATTACCGCTCCTTTCAGGGCCAGCGTAGAGCGGCCCATGGCCGCCCGTTTGCATCCCCCCTATGTTGGGACAACCTCAGAATTCAGTAACATACACATCAGGCAAGTAAGGAAGCAGAGAACCTAGGTAAAAATGGATTCCTAGGAGGTTAAGCTGCAAATAGTCTAAGGCATGACTCACCAGGATCCTCACCAAAAAGCTAGAGAGGAAATGTAATCAAATGAATCCACCACTGCTACTTGGTATTCACCATCACTGGCTTGGCATCCTCATGTAATTTTGGGGGAGGAAAACTACAGAGTAGCTCATTTGCATGACATGGTGGCTAAAGCAACAGCCCCTTCCCTCACGAGATATAAGTCTTATGGTATCTGATTTATAGTACTTTGTTCACATACTCCCTTTTTCAAAGTCCACTAAAAGGTGGTCAAAACGACTATAGAACTACTTTCAAAGTCATTTCTAATGGTAGATTTCCATGCTTAGTGTAATTTCCCAGTTTTGCACCAATATACATTTCTTGTTCCTGGATTCCTGTTTTTAAAAAATGATCTAAATTTAAATCCATTTAATTGATCTACATTTGAATGCAGTCTAGGATCAGTTTGGTCTGATATGCTTTATCCATTTAAATCCTTGCAACAATTCTGTGGGTTTAGTCAATTTTACTGGACCATTTATACAGAAGGAAAAGGAGAAAGGTCAGAGAGATCAAATTTCCTAACATTACACAACAAGAGAAGATTGAAAGATAGGTTGACACCCATACCTCCACCCCTAGAGAGTCTATATAAAGCATCCCGCATGACAAATTAAGTGTAAGGAAAATGCTTGCTTGCAGCAGATAGCTATCAACACTGATAGCAAAGAAATGTAAGATGGGAATAAGATGTGCAGGGAAGTTAAGAAATACACTATGCATTTGGGTCATATGCTGCAATGGTGAAGAAGAATTTATAAGTGAAGTACACACAAAGTTTGCACACAGAAGCGAGACATCAGCACTGATCTGCACAGCAACAATACCAAAGTTGATAAATTTAAACCACTTAATCACTCAAATGTACTATGTTTGGGTACAGGCCATTATGCTATAAAATATTAAACAACTGCAAAAACTGTGCAGACACACACACACACACACACAATTTCTCTCTTAAGTAAAATGGGTTATCTAGTTATTATTGTCCGCCTTCAAGTCATTTCTGACTTATGGCAACCCTAAGGCAAACCTATCACCAAATTTTCTTGGCATGACTTGTTCAGAGGGGATTTACCTTTGCCATCCTCTGAGGTTGAGAAAATGTGACGTGCCTAAGGTCACCCAGTGGGTTTCATTGACTGAATGGTGATTCAAACCCTGGTTTTGAGAGTCACAGGACAACACTCAAACCACTACATCATGCTGGAAATCATGAATACAATTGATATGATAGGTAAAGTGCATATAAACAAAAGAATAACAATGATGTCAATATTGAAAATCTTTTCTTTATGATCCAAACAATTATTTTATTAATATAGGTTATTTAATAGCAATACATTTTAATCTACTCATATAAATTTATTTATGCAGTAAATTTAAGATTCATTCATCCCATCAACTTCAGTAAACCTAAATACATTTACAGTGAATACGCTGAGCTTTTTAAAAAAAATTGTCATTGAATGCTAAAAGAGCTGGAATTCTGGAAGAGCCAGGTTTGCGTTGCCCTGCTAAATGTGACTTAAGAATGTGTAAGGAAGTATCACTCATGGTCAAATCATTTTAACTACTTTATACATAATTATTTTCATCCTGACCCACCCCCTACCAATCCCAATAAAATAAAATGAAGGAAAGGAAGGATACTTACATAATCTATTGCAAAGATGACAGACTAAAGAGATTTTTTATGATGCTGAGCCTAAGTGGTAATGTTTCACAAATTATATAGGGTATGGCATATGGCTGACTTGTACAACACCTGAATTTAATCAGATTTAATGCAGATAAGCTTAACTCTAGCCTGTCCACCCCCAAACTTTTCAGAGGAATTTCAGATGAATACACAAATCAGGACCAGCCCTCAAGACTGAAGCTTGTGAATCCTACAAGCAGCAATAAATCCACTGCCACCAGGAATAAACACTCCATTTAAGAAACCTGAGCTCACAGGAATTTAAGAGGTTCAGAAAGAAGCTTCATTAGAGTACTGGAAAGCACACTAATATCTTGTAACAGAAAAAACAGTTTTGATGGATGGGTGGGTTACAATTCAAAAGCTCTTATGGACAGGATAATTATAAGGCAACCAGGACCTGGATTCTTCAGAATCAAAAGGTTACAGCAGAAAACATCTAAATAGTGATTCCTTTAAAGTGTGAGCAAAGAAATCCATCTGAAATCCATTGAAATTTGAGTAGGTCTTAAAATTTGCTCAAATAGCAATCTCTAATATAATCAAGAATTTTACATTTCTTTTAAGCTCAAACATCCTTATTTCCAAGACAAGGAAGTGACCATTCAGAATGAAGTATGGAAATATGATAAATATCAGTATAAAAAAGCCACTTTGTCTCCTCATTCATGTAGACTTAGTGTAGAGGCAGTATTGATCTTTTCCCTCATCTCAATGACTGAGGAGGAAGGGATCATAGCTTAATGGTAGAGGACATATACTTTTCAATATTTGTTACCTCCTGTTTTGTTTTGTTTTGAAACTGTGTTGTAAGTCAGTCAGCTTCATTATTCATTTGGAGTATTTATACCCTGCTTTTAAGCCAAAAGGGTCTCAGGGCAGCTTACAAATGGTTAATTAGACATTTCCCTGCCTCAGGCTTACAATTTAAAAATACAAGATACAAAGGAGAAGGGAATGGCAGTGGGAAGGGGAATAAATCCAGCAGATCTTCTCTCCCTCTGAGGCCATTATCTCCAAATGTTTGAGAATTCAACTCCCATGAACCCCATCTGATATAGGGAATGACAGAAAAACTGGGAACTTGGGCAGATGTATCTGGATGTGGGCTATTGTAGACAGCCAAAAAGACAAACAAATGGGTCCTAAAACAGCTCAAGCTTGAGCTCTCTCTGGAAACCAGGATGACTAAACTGAGGCTGTTGTATTTTGGCTACATCATGAAAAGGCATGACTCACTAAAAAAGGCAATGATGCAAGGAAAGGTGAGAGGTAGTAGAAAGAGGGGAAGACCATACACCAGATAGACTCAATCAGAGAAGGCACAGGCCTGAGCCTGAAGGACCTGAGCAGAGTGGTAGATGATATGGGGTCTTGGAGATGTCTCATTCACAGGGTCACCATGAGTTGAGTTTGACTTGAGGGCAGTTAACAACAACAATATCTTGAGGACACCAGCCTGAGGAAGGCTATAGTAGTCAAACTGAAAGTTGTTAGCTTAAGCTGGCACAAGGCAGCCTTCAGTCACACAACAACAAATGGATTCCATGACTTGGAGTGCACAGTGCCAGTACGAATGGGCACCCCAGGTACAGCCTTTCCTGGACAGGGATAACTTAGCCACAGGAGTCCATGCACTGGTAATTAAACTACTGTACTATAATGCACTCTCTGAAGTGCTGCCTTACAGATGTCTCAGAAGCTACAGCTAATGCAAAATGCAACAGCAAGTTTTTTGACCAGAATATCATATGGAAAATACATAAAATGGTCTTAAGGTGCTATACTGGCAGCCAATTTGCTTCCAGTCTGAATTCAAGTTGCTGGCAATGACATTTAAAGCCCTAGACAGCTTGGGACCTTGGTTCTTGAAAGAAGTTGTTTTTGTTTTTGTGTACCTTGAAGTTGTTTCCAACTTATGGCAAGCTTAGCATGGAGTTTTCATGGCAAGTTTCATTAGAGGGGGTTTGACATTGCCATAATGTCTCTCCGCCTAAATCCTGACAACCCTATATATATTCCTGCCTGACAACAGAGACTCTTTGGTGGGGCCTTGTTCCATAGCCTAGTAGCTGGACTTTATGTTTCATCTATGTTGTAAGCTGCCTTGGATTCTCTGTTGGGCTGAAGGCAGGATTTAAAATAAATAAATAAATAAATAAATAAATAAATAAATAAATAAATAAAGCAAGTAAGCAAGACCTTTAGCTGTGGATATGGTATTTCACCTTCCCAGGCCTACTATCAACAATTTAAGAATCAGGGATTAGTCCTACTACTCTGATGGGGATGAGGCCTCCAATCTTCCCCACCTCTGCATTTCAGAAATACATGTGAACAAATAAATTTATTTGTAGAAGTGAATTCATACTGATGCTTACCCAGGGTACTGATCTGTTACTATGAATTTACATTTCTGGGAGCTGTCAAGCTCTCAAAGAAATATCCTTGGTCTTTATTTTCTCTTCCATCTGGATAACAAAGAGGCAAGACTAATCTTAAGTATCCAGAAGGTCTCCTCAAAAAGCTACTTTAGCAAGGTATGTGTAGGTCACTGATAAGTTTAATTGACGAAGAATTCATTTGTTCATCTTATTTTCAAATCAGTTATTTTGGAATGTTTCTTTGCTTAGTTTTTTAACAAGAAAATTGATCTGATTCTTAGCTGATCTGAGAACTGGGTTCACCCATTGTACAAATTATTTCTGATTTACCGTATAGCAACCCTAAGGCAAACCTATCATAAGGTTTTTTTGGTAAGACTTATTCAGATTCTTACCAAGAGTTTGCCTCTGTCTACCTCTGAAGCTGAGAGAATGTGACTTGCCTAATGTCACCCAGTGGGTTTCCATGACCAAACAGGGATTTGAACCCTGGTCTAAAGAGTTGCAGTCCAACACTCAAACCATTATATCACGCTGACTGGTTCTCACAGACTCATCTGATTTTAAAGGAGTTAAAGGAAAACACGGTAAAGAGGCCTGCCCTTCTCACCAAGAGTGTTTGCTGTTTTCTTTCAGGTAATTTCTGAAGCAAACCTATCAGGGCTAGGTGTGACTTGCCCAATTTGGGTTTCCATAGCTGAACAGGGATTTGAAGCCTAGTCTTCTAGACTCCTAGTCCAACACTCAAACCACTACACCACCCTGGCTCTCTAGCTTTACTGGGCACCAAGGATGTAAGACTTATTAAAAATATGAGAGATGGTGCTGCTGCTCTGAATAATATAGGTGAAGACGGTCACATAGTTTATTCTGTCCCACAGGGTTGGAAATACAAACGTACCGGTTTGTCACATTCTTCATTCAATAAGGCCTGTTGTCATCAAACAACTTTGGGAATCATAGATTTGGAAGAGACCTCAAGGGCCATCATGTCCAACCCCCTGCCATGCAGGAATACACAATCAAAGCACAAGACAGCCACAAATACACACCAAGAGCAATGGATGACGGAGGGGGAATTCTTGGCTGTTGCTTTGCCCCTGCTCTTTCTGTCCATGATGATTACCCCCAATATATGTGTTTAGGCTCCAATTTATGGGGAAAATGGGGGGGGGGAGTTACTAGAAGAAAGCAACAGGCAATGGAAGGGGTAATCACCTCTTCCACCTGCCACTGCTCCACTGCAAATTAAGAGCTGCTACACTACTGCTGCTCTGCAGCTGTTCAGAGGTGATCTGACTTCTTTGGACTGGATCTGCCACTGAACATCTGGCTGAGCCTTCAGAGTTAGCTTTTTCAAGTACTGTTTTCATAGACAGATTGGTGCATCAGTGTTGAGCAGATGACAAGGCTGCAGCTAGCTTTGCTTTTGCTGAGACCCAGACTATTGCTCAGCTTTGTCTATAAATTTTATGAGCCCATAACAATCTAACTGGATGCAGCTGGACTGCTCTGTCTCAGCACCAGACATCTTTCAAAAAAAATGGTAATGGCAAAAATAGAACAAACAAACCTCCTCATCAAATGAGAGTCATAAAGACTTTATGTGAGGACTGCTGTCTTTCATAAGAATATTCTGGTGGCACAGGATCTCTTGGGAAGAAAATAGCTAAAGTAGAATCCACAGACTCCACATCATGGGTTCATATCTAGCTTTTCTTCGCAAACGAAGATTCAGGAAGGACTCATCCCACGC